TGTAGGTCGTGCGGCTGCGGATGTGACGTATTTTCGTGACGTCGCGCCGCTTCTTCGCTCCTTCCGGGCGCGCACAAGAAAGCTGGATAATTTCAACTTCTCAACGCGCACAAAAACGCGCGGTGACGTAGTAGGGCGCTCCTGTGTGCCGGCCAATCGGTGGAGGGCAAGCTAGTTCCGGCTCCGCGTTTCTCGCCGTCTGGCTGCCCTCTCCTCCCCCCCTTTTATTCTCTTCCAACATGAAAACGCGATCTCTCTCTCTCTCTCTCTCGCCGTCTGGCCGGCCAGTCTGTCGCAGTTGCACTTCGCTTGTGGCCTTGTGCGCTCGTGCCTGCGTGCGCGCTCGCCCGAAGTTTCACCCGTCCAAACCAAAGCGCACGGTTCTGACTCAGAAAGCGCGCCCGGAAACAGCAAAAACGCCACGAAATGCGTCACATCCGCAGCCGCACGACCTACAGGCGCAAAAAGAAGCGTTGGTTTGGATCGCGCTTTACTGTTCTCGCACGAAAGTCTGTTGATAAGAATGTTTTAAAACGTTCAAAGGCACACATCTCCAAGCAGAATGTAAGCTTAAAGAAGGTAATTATTGGGTAGTAGCTACACCTTGTTTAAACTACAGAAAAGAATGCCTGTGTTATACACTTCCGTCATTATTAAACGCTTATAAACTTACGCAATTTGATTTATTCGCCTGTAAGTACAGTGAACTCCGTGCAATGTCTGTAACCACGGGAGAATGATTTTTGTTTTGTATGCCTGTATACCTTTGCGTTTTCGTTGTCATTATCCTTTTTATGCATGTTCATTCTTCCCACTGTTGTGCTGCTTAGTAGTCATTAATACAGGGACTGTGGGCTCGTCAAGCTGCTAAGCGCAGCTTTTTTTCCGCAGCCCCTCCATCTGTATTTTTACAAGGTGTAAAATAAACACATTTGAACATCATCGTGATTCGTATACCGTGGAATGGTCTGAACCGCGGAAAACACATCCAGTCTAGAAGGCTTTACATTCATACAAAACTTAGGACCTTTTGCCATGATTTCTTCTGTTCTTTCCGAAATCGGTTTTTTACAAGGGTTCACTACACCTGGTTGATACTATGACCCAACCTGGCCATACATCCAAACGTGGCACAGTTACATTCCGTAGATTCATCATCTTGATCGAGCTCAAAACATGCGATCTTTTCACATACCAAATCTGGTTGTACTGCGTCATCTTGACATTGTCCCAGTATCGATACTCCTTGCTTGTCCTGAATTCCTTGCCCAGGAGGATATCCCACAGCCTATCGCACGCACTCTGGAGTTCGTGGATTCTCTTGCTCGCTAATTCTCTGTATGTCTTGAGAAGGCTAGCCGCTCGCGCTTGCACAGCCTTCTCCGTTAGCCCGTGCTAAAGTGAGACGAAGTATAGACCATTTGGGTGTTTACAAAGATAAACTGCCACTTGCGTCCCAAGCGACTCCCGGTCGTTCCATCTTTGCAAGCATGTCAAGTTTGCTTGCGTCACCAGTGCAAGAAAGCGTAAATTCTGCACGGTAAGCAAAGTTAGAGATTTAACTAGGGCCCTCGGTTGTACAATTTAAATGGGTCATGAAACGATATCCGGTTGGAATGTTCATGACCTTACAGGGGTGTACTTGTCCTAGTCTGGCCCGAGTATACTCGCACGGACGTCCACTGATTCAAAAGCGTCTTGGTCGTGGTGAAATTGCGAGGATAAAATGGAACTATTTTTTTTCTTTGTCTTTCCTTCGCAAAGCTTGATGACGTACGCGTGAACGCAGCTTTGCCCCATGGCAAGCTTCCAATAGACCCTTTCCTAAATCCAGTGCCATCTGGTGGGTCGTATAGCAGTTTAGATTTTGCCATATCAATGGCGGAAATGAAATTGTATTGGCACTGTCAGTTTCGCAAGTCAACGCCACGCGAAGAATTGTTCAATGTGACTTCTTTCTTAATCACCTTCAGTTCGATGGTGACCAGGAACCTGCAGTTAAAACAAAGCTCCAACTCACAAAGATGCCTCGAGAACGTTCTATACACCAAAGGGATTGAAAGACGATTGTGTGCCGTCCACAGATTGACTGCATCTGAGTTATTAGAAATGAACGCTTACATAGATAGCTCTTGTGTTCCATTCCTACGTCGCCTCGTACAAACCCCCCGAATGTACAGGCCTCGCATCATCCGCTTAGGAGCATCTTCAACGTCTTCCTTTGTTAGCAGAAAGGTTGTTTATCACTCACTAGAAGGCCGCCATTGGTATGGCACAGATGCCGTTCCACAGATGATGATAGTGATCAAAGTGGCCAGATTGAATTTCAAAAAGGATCTATTGCAAGCACTTGCCCGCGCGAGCAGATGCGTGGCGGCGGCCAGATAACCTGCTTGCAATCGCCTATGGAGAATTCAGTAAAACCTGGTAGAACATTGATCGAAAAATAAAAAGTGGACCAGGCATGTTTCGACTTATACGCAGTAATCTTTTCGTGCACTCTTTTGGATTATTGCACCCTATTTGATGGGTGTTGATCATTGCGCCTTTTTTGACTATCGTCTCTGGCGGTGGTACACCCAATTTAGAGGGTGTACAGCAGTCATAACACCGTAATAAAAAGGTGTACTGCGGAATCACACCTTAATTTAGGGTGTTCGCAATCACGCCTTCCTTTAGGGGTGTTAGGATTAACGCCCTTTTGCTAGGGCGCTTAGCTACACCAATAAGGGTGTTAGTTATAAAAGCAACGTTTACACCCTTAAGGGTGTAATAATGTTTAGTCTGTATGATCTCCGCAAGTGCAAGAATTTTTCATAATCTCCGTTCTTCTTTTTTTCTTTTTTTTTTTCGTCCTTTTGTGTTTGGGTTTGTGTTCTTTTATGACTCGGGTTTGTATGCTAATGTTATTCGAGTTTGTGTGCCGGTTGTCGGTATAGGTCGAAAGTTGGGCTACACTGTGTAGTGGATGAGGTTCTGCTTTGAATCGTCAAAGAGGTCTGGGACATGTATATAATCCGATTGTTGTTCAATAAATTTCAAGTTGTGTTAGACACTTCGTTGTTCTGTCCATTTTTTATTGTTCCTAGGTCTCAGGGTTACTGTGAATATCTGTTATTGCCTCTATTATGTGATGAACAGCAATTTTATGTGCCTGTGGGCCGGATAAAAACAAAGTACGCAAAGGTGCGTGGCGAAACAATGATGATTACGCACGCAGACCGTCAGAAAGGACCACTTAAGTAGCTGCCATGTCGAGTAGAGCATAAAATAGTACTTTGATGTATTTAACAAAAAAGTATCAGTTAGCAACGGTGATGCTCATTTGCAAGTTTAATTGCCCGGTATCTTGTTAAGGACAAACCTCAATAGCCGGAGTATGCCAGTTCACAATATATCAGAAAATGTTCACTTCTTGTCGCGATATTTTAGGCCAGATTGGACCTTAGTACGAAGGTGCGTATAGATTAGAGGGAACAATATTGATGGGTCCTTTCTGCATAATTCTTAACCTGCATCACGGTGCTGAGTGTAAGCACTGTTGGTTAGGATAACAAGCGTTATAATTGCTGCTCAGTGTTCTTTTTTCTTTTTTTTTTAAGGATAGACTGAAAGTGCTTGTCCTAAAACTTTCTTGACATTTTGAAGGTAATATTGCTTTTAGCTCAGTTGCGTCGTCATCATATATATTGTGAAACGCATTTCATAAACTACATTTCACGATATATGGCAATGCAATTAATTCCTTAGTTTAAAAAAAAACAACTACGATTTAACTTTAATTCCGCGACGCAAAGTCGTAAAGATCGCGCGTATTTTAGGCGACGTTCCATACATCGGGACAAGCTTTCGATTCAAGTAAGATATATGTGACTGAGGAAAACAAATAGACGCCCAGAACTATAAACGCAATGTTTTGTTTATCAATCTAGATTACCTTGCACGCTATCGTTGAAATCAAATAACGTAATATCTTATTTTTCGGCACCTGAAAAATGAAAGTTAATTGTACGATCGACACAAAAACTATACAGTATAGTTATTCGTGTGACCGTGTAAATGGTGCATATGGCCAAAATAACATGGAAAATATATTATCATTTTAGCGGTTCAAACCGGGTCGTACCGGTTTGAAGCGTTACTTTGTCTCCACTGACCTGGACGGTGAACCAGAAATGAACCGAAAGCCGTGAGCCCGATCCCGAACCGAACAGATAAAAATGTCGGTTCGGCACTCTGGTCCGGACTATTTGCAGGTGCCGACTATATCATATATATTTTAAGGTCATTCATTAGAACGAGACATGGCGGACTTTGGGAATGACAAAGTTAATGATGATTTAGGTATAATGCAAGCTTCTTCTCAATCTTGGTATCCTTTACACTTTTTTTTTCGATCCCTTACGGTAACAAGAAACAGGCAGCTTCACTCGCAACTTTTATAATGCCAAGAGCAAATTACGCAACCTCGAATTAGTCAAAACAGATGTGAGGTTAAATGGGTAATAAAAGTAAAATTATAAACTGCTTCGCCAAAGTAACCTTGGGGCACTCACAGCATGAATTTGGCAATTATGACCGGTTCAATGGTGGAGACACTAAAAAATTAGAGAAAGAGGACAAACAAAAAAAAAGAGGGGGGGGGGGGGGGGGAGCACATGAGAGGAGAGCAAGAGTTGAGCTCGATTCTGGTGGACAGAGGACGGACAATTGTGACTCGATTCTCTCCGGTGTGGGTGAAAGGTTTTTTTGATGCAACTCTGTTGTGGTGTGTGACCTTCCGGGAGGCAATCGGGGCTCGACCGTATCGGGCCGAAATACCCCACAAAATATAATTAGTACTGTTTAATTCTGTTATTCTCTGATGACCACAGTTGAGTTCGTGGGGACTCTTAAAACAAAAATTCAGGGCGTCAAAATGTTTTAGTTTTTTTTTATTATTATTATTTTCTTGACATAACAAAACGCAGCATAGTAAATTATTACAAAACGATAAAGTCCCGTATTCAACGAACATATCGGGAACGGTTTATTCAGGAAATGACTAACGCTTTGCTGCTAAAACGAACTCCACTTGGTTTTTTTTTTTTTATTATTCGCTGCTCTCAGATGCACGCCTCGCTTCAACCTCCGACTTGAGCGCTTGCCTCAAGATCTTGCCAATGTCCGATTTGGGTAGAGAGTCCATGAAAATAACTCCACCATACAGATGTTTGTACACCGCTGTCTGACCTGAAAATGAGAGTGCGACAAGAGAAGGAAACATTTCTGTTTTGCGCGTTACAAAAACATTTTTCAAATGCGCGCCCACTTTTTAACCAGTGATGTCATCGGATTATGCGTGTATACAAATCCGTGAAGCATATCTAGTTCTCTTCTGGTGGATTTTTCTCCTAACCACAAAAAGCTCCTAACCCCTCATATGCACAGAAAAGGGGGGGGGGGGGTAAAGACTTCCCCCTTTTACTCATATAGGAATGAGGACGCCGACTACCTCACGAAGAATTTCAAAGTAAATTGGGGTCGAATACTTTAAACCGTCTCGTTCGTCGGCTCTTCTTAATCACGTTTTACAGCAACATTTCTTACTCTCCTTGCGCATTTCAACTACGCCTCTTCTGCAGCCAATTCGTCAAATTCGTTCAACTCAACACCCAGCATTAAATCCAACCAGATGCTGGGTGTTACGTTTCTCGGTGTTGAGATTCTGGGTATAACCTTTGAATATTCAGTTGTTCTATTTATGGTCGAGTACGCCATACTTCAAAAAAGACAAGCGCAGTCATGTAGCGTCTGCACTGACGTCTGCTTACAAACATGAAGAAGCTAAGCGCCAAATACGATACTAATCATGACGTATATTAACACTCGAAAATAACAACTTTAAAGTTTACACTGTAAAGTAATACGCGACATTCAATATCCTGCTGAACACTGCAAATACCTGCAATGAGCTGCTTCAGATCTTCCTCGACGGCTTCGTGCTTCTCTCTGTATTCCTCTTTGAGGACGACGCAAGCCGCCGGGGCCTCCCCATACTTGGCGCTGGGAATCCCGACTACCGCTACTTCCTTGACCGCGTCGTGACTCAACAAGATTTCTTCCAGTTCTGCCGGAGCGAGCTGGTTGTCCATACACTTTATCATCTGCTTCAACCTGTCGACTATGTACAGGCGTCCCTCATCGTCGTGGTAACCGAGGTCCCCTGGAAGCAGAACGTAATTTACATTTTTAGTTAAGGCATGTCAAATGCCATCTGGATGTGCTTTACGGTTCTCCTACATGCCGGACACTTTCAAAATGCGAAGTTTCTTTATAGTCACTGATAACGTAAGAACGGCAGGTGGGGCATGCGGAAGGGGCGCCCTGCCCGCTTCATTCTATAATATTACGTCTCTCGTAATGTATAGAAAGTGTAAAAGAATTCGGCTCTTTTGAGTTGAATTCGCAAGAAGCAAATTAACCAGAGAAGTGTTCACCGAAGAACAATTCATCCAAAAACTCTTCACCATAAAGAAAGCTAAACGGAAGAAAGTTCACCAGAAAAATAATGTTTAGCGAAAAACGTACGCCCGAAGAGCAGTCACCGGAATAGAGTTCACCTGAGTAACTGTCACCGGTGCAAAGCCCACAAAGTAAATGATGCATTTTATTCCAGTCTCTTACCTGTGCGGAACCATCCATCGGCGATGAGGACGTCGGCTGTAGCTTCTGGTCGCCCATGGTAGCCTTTCATCACACTGCTGCATTGGGTCCAAACCTCACCATGCTCGAAGGACGCCATCGTTTTTCCGCTCACGGGGTCTACAATCTGAAAAGTTGATTAAACTTAGGGCTGGCCATCGATCAAAAATTTCACCAGATTAATCGCGACCCCCTAATCGATTAATTAATCGATTAATCTGTTTTGTTCATTTCCACGCATAATAGTCCTTAAAAAAGACACAATTACATTTTTTTTTACTTCTCTGAATATGTGATAAACGGCAATATGAACAATTTTAGATTTTAAATCAACCTTCATGTGTAGCCGAGAACATTCCAAGGATGTTCTCGCCATTGTTTACGTCTCTTCTTGTCCCTGTTTTTTCGGCGCGTATCTTTCATCATGAACCAAGTGGCTCAAACTGCCATCCTAATGCATTCGAAGGACACCGAAATTCGCAAATTATTACTTCAGTCCCAGATGCAAAGAGGTTCGCTGATATTCTCCGGCAACCTTTGATTGTTCACTATAGTCTCTGCTGGTATAAATGGACACTCAAATGGCGTTCAAGTGGCTGGAACAAGTAAAGCCTGCTTTACGTGTTTAGAGTTAAAAGTAGCGCCAATATGCCACGTTTCCAGAATATGTGGAGACGTAAGCATAGTGTGACCTACACGGGGAGGCAGTATTAGTGCGAACAGGCGGTGGCCGGTTTTCGAAACATTATCTTAAAACTGCTTAAAGGCCTTCATTCAAAATACTACTGCAATGTAATGTGCCTATGTATACCCGCCGGCGATTTGAAGGTGAACGCCGGACGTCGACCGATCCGTGCTATCAGCGCCATGACGCGGCTGCCATGGCGGCTCGCTTTCTTAACGCGCGCTTCGCCGAGGCTAAACGCTTGGATCGAGCGCTGTTTTCAGATCTGCTGCTACTCCCTGCAGAAAGCGTGGAAGTGGGTTTCGATTTTGGCGTCGCTTTTTGTGGGCGTCGTGCCAATGTCATTGGCGGCAAACGATTTGCACATTGCACGTGAACAGAGCGGACGTTGTTCGGCATGGTTTATCAGTGACTCAACCGCTTTCTTCATTCATGAGTGAACGCTAATAACTGCAACAATAACGTGTTCTTTTTGAGAAGCCGAAAATATGTTACTTTTTTATTTGTTCCGCAGCCTTCCGGTTTAGCACATATCACAACAAGTAAACTACTAAATCACACTGTCTACCGACCGATAGCGTCTAAAAGGCTGCTTCCCCAATCCTCGCGCTTTCTGTGGGAAGTAGCACCAGAGTTGAGAACAGCGCTCGATCCACGCGTTTAATCTCGGCGAAGCGCGCGATAAGAAAGCAAGTCGCCACAGCAGCCGCTTCATGGCGCTGATAGCCCGGACCGGTCGACGGTCCGGTGTTCACCTTCATATCGCCTGCGGGTGTACACCACTCTGTAACACTTTAGGTTAGAATTTCACCTAGAGTTTGCCTTCATACACGCGTACTCGTCCATCGTTGTGGTGAAAGTGTTTAATTTTTACTTTCTTTTTTGTTTCTCAAAATTGAAGCGATTTACCGGTTAACAAATTAATCGCGATTAAAGCATTAATTCATTAATCGGTAGGTTAATCAATCAGGTTCCCAGCTCTAATTAGAACAAAAAGCATATTTGCATTTTCCTTCAACCCTCATAACGAGACAACAATTCTTCGTCCCTGATTACTAGTTTCTTATAGGCCACAAGGTTTTTGTGTTTTCTAGTTTATCTTTCAATTTTCAACTTTATTGTTTCTCTCCAGGAGAGAAGGGGAAGGAGAATAAAAAAAAAAGCAGACTGTTGTCGCTTGGCAGTGTATCTCATCTCTACCTTCAGCATCAGCCTTATGCAGCAGAAACGAAGGATTAAAGCAACCACGTATCCACCTCATTCAATAAGGTAATTGAGGCCTATACCTTCACTTTGCAGCCAGCCACCGGAAAACCAACATTGTCCGTAGTCACGTGTCCGGGAGGCGTCGCACTAACGACTCCGAATGTTTCGGAGAGCGCGTAGATGTTAGACAGCGTTTCGACGCCGAACACCTCGCACAGGTCTTTGCCAAGCGACCTCGGGGACAAGCTTCCAGCAAGCAAGATTGTCTTCACACGTGGCACGCTTGCTTTTGTAGTCCTTGCTTCGTCAATTATCGATTGCATCTTCGTGGGGAATCCGAATAGAGTGGACATCTGTATTCGAAGTAAGACGAGAGTGGCAGAAAAAGGATGTTTTAGGAAACCCGAATTCCGATAGTCAAGAATGAATTAACGCAGCTCTAGCACGTCGACTATGAGATTCAGAAATACTGTAAGTATAAAATGATTTACTCGCCGAGCTATTTGTAAAGGTGTCTATTATAATTGCAACCCGAGCACTCTGGTAGCTCGGCTGTCTTATTATATCACTCTAGGAATATTGGAGTATAAGAAGACAACCGTACACAATTGTTACCAGTAGCAAGATTATAAAACAGGCCCTAATTACATCTAAACAATTATTAAACTTGATGAATGAAAGAACATAAAGGTAGTGACATTATCAGGACAGCAAACATTTCAATTAATGCTAAAAATGAAGTGCCTATTTTAGCGTAAACTTTGTAGTGTCGCTAGCACAACAGACGCAAGAAAAAAAAAACTTAATAACCGGTCCTAACGTAGTCAACAGCCTTACATTGTATGTCTCAAGATACTTCAAGAATTCCCGAAACGATATGTAGGGCTCTGTGAAGATGGCCTGGCAACCAATGCACATGACGAACACGTTCAGCGCAAATCCAGAGACGTGGGTGATGGGACTCCATGCCAAAAAAACGTCGTCTTCGGTCAGCAGCTTAGGAGAACTGGAATTGGTAAAAACAAGGTTGTTAAATGCTCTTTTGAAAATTTGAAGTAATACAACAAGGAGCGACAGGCTGTAATTCGACATCTAATCACATGTTGAAAAAACAGCGCGACTAAGGCGAGGACACAAAGAGACGAAGTGAACACAAGACAAAGCGCTGACTATCAACTGGTTTGTATTACACACTAAGGAAGAATGACAATGAAATGAAAAACATGGAGTCAAATGTTCGCGCGCTTGCTTGGCGCCTCGTGAAATATGTCCCTTTCTTCTTTTTTCTCCGATCGTAGATTGGATTCTCCTCTTTCTTTCCTTAGGAGCTTTTGTCACCCTGAATCCAAAAACTTCATCTCGCTGGGAGTCAGAGTCACCGATGGTTGGCTAACGCACGAACTGTTGTTCTTCGTGATGTTGTAGGCTTCTACCATCTCTCGACATCTTTGGTCGCGGTGTTGAAACAATATACTGGTGTTTTCGAAGCGTGGTTCGGAACCGCAATCTCTGCAATGTATCGCTAGATGTGAATTAGCGGTGCCCTTCAAGGAGCGATGGTGCTCTCTTAGTCTGATGTTTAAGCACCGGCCAGTCTGCCCGATATACCAGTGCCCACAAGAGAAGGAAATGCGGTAAACCACGCCTTTTACACACGACACGAACTGCATCCCATGCTTTACCTTACATGTGTTATGTTCTGATCTTGCTTTACCCTCCTTGCGTGCACGTACAGCGGAACATAATCTACTTAGTTTGTTTTGAGCTAAAAAAACAACGTTCACCTCGTATCTGGACGCGACTTTTTTAAGTCCGTGTGAAATGCGGTGAAGATAAGGAATGACTGAAACATAGCTCCTTGAAGGGCACCGCTAATTCACATCTAGCGATACACTGCAGAGATTGCGGTTGCGAACCACGCTTCGAAAACACCAGTATCTTGTTTCAACACCGCGACCAAAGATGTCGAGAGATGGTAGCAGCCTACAACATCACGAATAACAACAGTTCGTGTGTGAGCCAACCATCGGTGACTCAGACTCCCAGCGAGATGAAGTTTTTGGATTCAGGGTGACGAAAGCTCCTGAGGAAAGAGAGAGGAGAATCCAATCTACGATCGGAGAAAAAAGAAGAAAGGGACATATTTCACGAGGCGCCAAGCAAGCGCGCGAACATTTGACTCCATGTTTTTCATTTCATTGTCATTCTTCCTTAGTGTGTAATACAAACCAGTTGATAGTCAGCGCTTTGTCTTGTGTTCACTTCGTCTCTTTGTGTCCTCGTCTTAGTCGCGCTGTTTTTTCAACATGAACTCTCACCAGCTCGCCCAGTTATCTATCCTTATCTAATCACACCTATGTCCTTCCATTTTTTTTTAAGGCGAAATAAATACATGTCTTATTACGCGACAAAGCGGCGGCGTTGTGCCCGAAAGATGGTCACATTAATACGTCAAGCACGGGCATGAGAAAAAAAACAAAAAAGCAAAGAAAGCACAGCAACGCAGATGCTTTGTCACGGAAGCTTGCGGGGGCGCTCAAGATTAAAAAGGAGGGGCCTCAAAAATAAAACGCAAAGAAAGGCCCAGCAACGCGGATGCTTCGTCACTGAAGCCGCCGTGAACCCGGCGGGGTTCGCCGCGCCTGCGCAGTGGGGGAGCGTGACGTCACCGCCGGAGCGCCGTGTGAAAGAGGAAGACGTGGCGCGCTGCTCGCGGGAATGTGCTGCGTGTAGGAATGCTTTCGCATTCTTACACGTAAGCAGTTTTAAGTGTCTTTTCCAAATTTTTGTCCATCTTTTTGTTTCATGGGTTGTCACGTTTACGTAACTTCATTAGGTAACGTCTTGCAATTGGAGGGGGGCAGGATTCAGGGATCGTGGGTACAAACACCACACCCCTGCCCGTTTCCACCCGGGGGAGCATCGTGCCGGCGCGTGTTCATGGAATCACCACTGCATGATTCACTTTAAAAAACCCAGGCTAGCGGTCGTACCTCAATGGCTAAATTGCTCATCTACAGCGTAGACACCAGACGCCCGTTGGCCTGGCTAACTTCCCTGTGTCTATACATACAGACAGAAAAAATTACTTTTGTTGCGGTCGTTCGTGGTAGAAAAGGGGACGCCTTTCAATTACTTTTAGCGACCGCTGTGAAGCGAGAATCTGCTGAATAAGGTCCCAGCTGCACGTGTGCTTGAGCTTCAAACTCGCCGTTTACGTGTTGCCGCGGTAACTGCCGGCAGCGCTCCTTTGCTAAACTTTCCACTCCAGGTTGGAGGGATACTGGAAGGGATACTGAAAACGCTCCGACTGGGATTACTGCGGTTCCCAATCTGATGTTCTGCCTTCTTTTTTTTTTTTTTTTTTTTTAGAGCGCAGCTTTTATGGTACGTTTACACCTGAAAAGAAATCCGCTGCCGCGGGAGCGGATCCGCTCCCGGCGACGGCGGCGACGAGCTGGTTGTGTTTACATCTATTACCTTCGAGCAGTGGCGGCAGCGCCGGCTGAGGCAGCGGTTCCCGTAACGTCTCGTCAAATATGACGAGAAGGCGCGAGAGTTCCCGCCTCGGCTCTCTCTCTCCCGGGCGTTGCTGCTCCCGGAAGAACGCGTACTCGTGACGTAGGCAGCTTCGCGCTGCGCAAGAATGTCACATCCGGTCAGCGAAACGCCTCGTTCGGCGGCAGAAATAGATCCCGGACCTATACGGCTCGCCGCCGCATTTTCCGCCCAGCGTTTCGCCCCAGCGGCAAAAGCTGGGCGGATCCGCTGGCGGATCCGCAAGTGTAAACGTACCATTAGGCGCTTGTTTCCGGCTTGAGCGGCGTCGCCGTCGGCGTCGGCATCACCGCGCAGTGCATTATGGGTAAATTTCCCCGCTAACTTTAGCGGAAAATATTCCCCGCTAAATTTAGCGGAAAATTTTCCCCGCTGTGTTTAGCGGAAAAATTTCTCCACTAAATTTAGCGGAAAAATTCTCCGCTAAATTTAACGAAAAAATTTCCCCGCCAAAACTGGCGCCATATTTTTCCCGCCACAATTAGCGGGAAAATCTTCCCCGCTAAATTTAGCGGAAAAATTTCCCCACTAAATTTAGCGGAATCAATTCTCCGCTAAATTTAGCGGGAAAAGTTCCCCGCCAAGTTTAGCGGAAAATGTTTACCGTCCAATTGAGCGGATAAACAGTTAATCTCTAAATTTAGCGGAAAAAATCCCCGCTAAATTTAGCGTAAAAATGTCCCATATAAATTTAGCAGAAAAAATTTCAGCTCAATTTAGCGGAAAAACTTCCCCGCTAAATTTAGCGAGTGAAAATTCCCCGCTAAATTTAGCGAACAAATTTCCCCGCCAAATTTAGCGGAAAAAATTCCCCGCTTAATTTAACGGAACCCCCCCCCCCCCCCCTTAATTTAGTGGAAAAATCCCTCGCTAAATTTAGCGGAAAGCGTTCCGCGCCAAATTTAGCGGAAAATATTCCCCGCCAAATTTAGCAGAATATTTTTCCCGCTAAGTTTAGCGGAAAACATTCCCCGCTAAAATTTAGCGGGAAATTTCCCCGCTAAATTTAGCGGGAATTTTCCCCTAAATGGGAGGAAAGGAGAAGGGGCTTAGCCTAGCTCCTCTCCGTACCTTCCCTTCCTCCTCCTCCTCAAGAGCTGCGCTCTATTTCGTCGTTAGGGGATTGTAAAAGTCTCATTTTTTAAAAGTGTTTTTTTTTATCACTGCCGCCCTCTGAGAAATATTGGTCGTCACATCGAATAGCATGCGCATGGACCGGAGAGTACAGTACATGCGTCGTTCTTCTCTTACCGCGCACATTCGCAGGTCACGAGACGAGGCACTCACTGCATGTGCCGAAGTCTTTACAATGCCTCAGAAAAGGAACTGAAGAGGAGATAGCTTAAAAGAAGCGGTAACGTGCTGAGTATCAGAGCGCACGACTTGTCAAGGGGACGCCTAAGAAGAAAGAGCGTACATTCGGTAGGGGATAGAGAAGCAAGAGGTGACTGAAGGTCGCGTAAACAAGAACTAGGAGAAAAAAAAACATTGCATTTAGTTACCCGGTATGGGATTCGTTGATATTTAATCAGCGGAGTGTATCCTTCACAGAAAAACAGCAATGCTGCCGCATTTCAACGTGGTTTGCAGGAAATCACCGCAGAGACACTGCCCCTTTTTGCACCCAGCGTCAAACTGTTCAACGTCACCCAGTTCGAACACGGGATTTGTCTGTTTATGCAGTTCAAGGGCGCGTTATGAGATGCAGTAATCCACGCACCTTTCGTGGCTCTAGTTTTTACCGTAGTATGTTTGTACGTATATTCAAATTACTTTCCCCTATGTCAAACAAATAGGCTCACTCATCATGTATCAGCTAAGGGTTCCAAAAAAACCACGTGTTTTCACTTCCCACCAGCCTTGCGTTTTGTAACTACAAGGGAACGTCTGGGCATTTCAGAAATGCGCGCAAAACTCTGCATAGCCAAATGGTGTGCAATGATCACGGGCACATGTTTACAAACGAGAAACAGAAGTTGTGACGGCACCAGCAGGAAGCATTTAGTGATAACTTCAGGATGACCGCACGAACATGATGCTTAAGTGAAGTACTTACTCAAAGGAACAAAAAGAAGCAACGAAACTCTTGTGCGAAACCTCGACGCCTTTTGGAAGTCCAGTTGAGCCAGACGTATACAGAACCGCAATCACGTCTTCGGCGTTGTCGCTAGGAGAGTATTCCTCGAACGAGGATTCTGAAAGCTCCTGAAACTGACTGATGTCCGTGAAACCTGGCAGGTCTCCTATGCAGAACAGTTCCTGCAAGAAAATCATTAACCGTGCACAAAACTCAGCATCAATCGGCATTTAAGTTATGAGCAGAGATAAATACGGATAGTGCACTAAAGTTGTTGTTTTCTTTCTGCAAGCTTTGTAGCATACGTGGTGTCCAACTATTATACTTTGTTTCACCTTAAGTTAAGACGCAGCTGATCAGATAACATAAAAATTGGAATCGATCAGATAATGTTAAAATTATCGTCGTGTTCGCCGCGTTTCTTGACGTGTGGTCTGTCATAGCCGAACCAATCATGAGCATAAAAAGCTCTAGTGACTTGCGCTTTTGGCCCCTGTTTGACTGGTCCCAATACCTCTAACCGTCAGCTGTGGAAGGAGTAAGATGCAGTAGTGTTCGTTGCAACGAGCTTCGCATAGTCGCATAAAGTAGCAGTTCGTTTATTCGGCGTATCACCTTGATAAGAAACAGAACTCTACAACTCGTTGGCGTAGCACCGTGTGTTGATATGGATGCAACAACTGCATCAAATACGATAATCTCTTTGATTAGTACTTTCATGAAATATATGCTATGCATGCTCCAATAGACTGTTCGTGAATAGGCTATAATCGGAACGACTGACATTCTCTGGCGTGAAGCATTAACTCCAAGTCCGTCGATTCGTTTGACGGTTCAATGACATACCTCAAGACGATGTTCTTTTCGCACTTCCAACACTTTTGATGCCCCGTGTTTGTCCGTGAGGACGTAGCGGCACCCGCTGTCTTTGATTTGATAAAGCAGCTCCCCTGAAGTTGAAGCAGAAACAGACTAACGTTAGATAACAAACGAAAACTTTAATAAGAGTCGGGCCACGTGCAGGTCTTCATGAACTGCAATTTCTCTTGATAAAGAAAGTAAGGTCAAAACATTCATTCGTCCAGAATGATATTTTTGGTCCTTCTTTTTGTCGTGGATACGCTTGGTAGTTGTTAAAACAATATTTGTCTAATTAGAAAACGTAGATTTTCCGGGACATTTCTTTTTTGTTTTTGTAACGATATTGCCGCGCGCAGGGCCAAAAAAGCAACGCTCGAAAATGGACTCCTAGATGGTTCTCGTTCATTCTTGCTCCGGACGTAACTTCTATGATTTAATCCTGCCCCCCCCCCCCCCCCCCCCCCTTTCCTTGTTCAAAAAGAAGAAAAAAGAAATAGCGTGTTTATTTTCGCCCCGAGCGCCCCACGCTCGAGCCTTCTTTGCTGAATCTTCGAGATAGTGACGCACTCTAGATAACAGGCCGCCCGCTATACTTGCCAAGTCAGTCTCGCTCCAGCGTTTGATCCTGCTGTTTCGCCGCCAGTGACGCTTGCAACGCTAACTCTTTTTTTTCTTTTTTTTTTTTCTTTTTTTTTTTTGGGGGGGGGGGGGGGGGCATTTGTGACAATATCATTGGTCCTTGGCAATCTTTTCCCGTACACACTTACTCTATTAAGTTGTTGGTTTTTAAAGTTTTTTGAGCAGCTGTTGTTAAATTTATTCCGTCCAAAACACGGCTGAAGTGACGCCTCTACAAGTTGATACTGAGAATCGCTTAATCGTCGCGTTGATATAAATATAACGTTTATTATGCGTGAGTATTTAATTTAACACAACGGCAGATGGCTGCCGTATCGCCACGACCATAAGCAGCATACATATTTATATCCCACGAAACTTCAGAGCAGGTTCAGTTGCAGAAAGGTAAACCTACTTGTGACAAGAGTAGGTTTAGCCATGACGACGGTTGCACCGACGAACACCACACCCAGGATCGCCGCCACATTCTCCACAGTGTTAGAGACATGAGCACACACGTAACTTCCGGGCCTTATGCCGCTACGTTGGAATCCCAACGCATACCGCTGTATTCTTCTTAAAAGCTGGTTTCCCGTCAATCGTTGTTCATTGTCAATCTGAAAAAAAATAATTGACAACATATTGACTTTAAATTGCGTGACATGTTCCAGTAGCTGATCGTATTGATGAGAACATTTCTTAATTTGCCAAACTGACACATGTTACGATCTGGCTTGTTTAAAATTAAATAAAAACTAGTCATTTACTAACAAAACCTACACTATAAAGTTATCTCAACAAAACAAAATAAATGGCAAATACGAACGTTGTAAGAATTACAAAGAAATTGTTTAACAGCAAAGTTACACAGTGATAGAACAATCTTAACAAGGCGTTCTGCCATTGTCTCTTCAAGAACACGTACCCTCGTAAAGATTAGCTTTTAAAGTGTTTCTGGAACCTCGCATTCTCCAGTCATCAGCAGGCCCGGGCAGCGTTACTCTCAAAAGTGTTTGGAAATACAAACTCTGAGATGCATGGCAAAACATCTAAAATACTGATACTGAAACACAATTATAAAAACATTTTGCGATACGTATCAGAAATACATTTGAAGGATAGAAAAATAATTTGACACACAAATACAGAAATTCATTTTGGTGAAACGGAAATAAGACACTGAAACACATATTTATAAAAAAAAAATCATTTTAGATGTTTTGGTGCACCCCTTGGTGAATGCAATGAAAAAAAGAAAGAATCATGATCTAAAATACGATATTTTATTTTTTAACCAGCAAACGAGACTCACTGCAAAGTTGGAGTATGAATTTTGACGTGTAACTAAAGCAAGCGATGTTTGCACCGTGGCTGGAGCGCGGTTCTATTTTGACATCTCATCATTCTGGGGTAAAATCCCAGGAACATCTAAATTCGTTTTGTGTCCTTTCAAATAACCTGGAGAAATCACAATGATTATGTCGAATCCGGGCGCCTCTTTCAGCAGTGACCTCAACGTCACCGTGGAATGAAGTTCAAGAAACCCGTATTCTTTTATCTGTTAGTTGGGCACGCCGACAGAGCCTTCAACTTTTGGAATATCTACTGCAATGCTTGACTAGCTAAAGTGTGGGAAAGCATCTGTTAACTTTTGTACAATAAAGGGAGTCATATACGCTCAGAGACACTGAACGGCCGTGAAGAAACTTGGCCTTGACCTCCTTTGTGGAGCTCAGCAATTATTTTAAAATTGTAACGAGATACGTCGGCCCTCATAGTATCGCCATACCAGGAATGCACTCGAAAACGTGTTTCGATAGAAGAATACAAAATGCAGTTGAAAAATTGTATCGCGATACAGAAATATAAACTGTATTTCTGAAATGATATCGGGATACATTTTGTATCGCAATACTTCCGAACCATGGTCACCATTTATATCTTCAATACTTGGTGTATCTGATTTTTTGAAGTACGAAATATTTTTAAAGTTTCCTCATATTTGTTAATTATTATTAAAAATAGCCATAAGGACAAGTAACTAAATATTAAAAGTTGTGCAAATGCAAATATAGATGTTTTACAAATTGTCAAAATTATTAATACCCTGAAAATTGTTGTTAAATATACATTCCCAGTTATAAATTGTGAAATATTAAAATAAATAGTATATACAGTTTTTTTTATTAACACAATATTCCGATATTATTCCGTTTATCGCAAAAAACAGGCACTTATACACACAAACACCCTTTTGGTATACAACAGCAAACATTATATCAGATACACGGCTGGTTGTATATGCTTTCTTGGTAGTTACTGCATTCAATCTATGCCACTGTAACTATATGAATGAAAGCTAACACCTACCGGTATTCCTACAAGAATAAGGCAAAAGTGTCAGTCACTGACTTAAAAGTTGCTCAATATACAAAGCTATAATCGATACTCTGATCTAATATTGCTTAGGTTCAAAAATAAATTTCAGTTATTTTGTACTCGGCAGTTGATAGCTTGCTTTAAGTTCGTTTTCTCATGAAATGTAATTTTTTTCTAAACTTAAAAAGAAAACTTTGTTGCTTCCGTTCATTTCTGTGTCGATGAAGATGTCAATTTAAACTGCAGTCTATTCTGCTAACATGTTGCTCTTTCTTTTTTCTTTTTCTTAGTCACAAACTGAGTCGTGCAAGTCTATCATTTCGTAAATTTTTCCATAGCATTACAAAATTTCATTATTTTTATTCACTTCCGATGTTCATTTTTATAATTCCTTTGCGCCGGCTTCTGTAGCCGTCATTACGGCGATATGTGTCCTGTGAGACACAGCACAAGTGTCCTTCAGGGTTATTCCTCCGTTTGAGCGCCAGTGCACACTCATTTCTCACCCCCTCTTCCTTCTATTTACAAAAACGCCCTACTCACCGCAACAACTTTATCTCCAAACTTGCACAATCCCTCCCGAATAACCCACGTGGCAGAATGGTTCTGGACATCGAAGTCGGGATACGGAGAAAACACGACTCCATCCACGATTCGTGTGGTCATTTTCCAAGGCTCTGTCAATCGCGAGAACATGAGGGCCGAGAAAGGAAAACAGAAAGAAAGAAAAAGAGGAGAAAACAAAAGGTTCAGTGCCTAAACGAAAACCACATTGACCGGTCAATACACGTGCTATGGTAGAAAGGCTCTTCAATTTGTATGCTGGAAACTAATAATTAGTGTTGTAACGATTCAGCAAAAAAGGTAAGAAATGCCTGTGCGCTATTCCTTATTGTTTTCGGTGTAACGTGCTTTCGGATTAGGGAGCTTTGGGATATAATAAGCTTTTGAATATAACAATTTTTCGAATATGAGTTCTCGAACGTAACGAGTTTTGGAATATAGCATCAAATACCGAGTTCATTTGTTTTAAGTTTAAAAATGTGACAAATTACTTCAATCAATTTTATGCTCATGCCGATGAGACTAAAATGTAAACTTGTATTATGAACAGAAAAATAAGACAACATACTCAGCCATGTAAATCAAGAAACTCGTCCGCTGAGTCTTTCGAAAGTCGGTGAAAATAAAGAAAAGTTACAGGTGCGATATTTGAATAACGCATTTCTATTATCGACCTACTCGGTGTTTGTTGTCGTGAAAGCTATATGTTTTGTAAAATAGAGGAGAAAACTTGCAGTTCGCATGCCGCCTATCAAAAAAGTGGAGGTAACATTCCCTTGATTTATTATTCAACTGTGGCTGGAAATATAGAAGATATGTCATGCATTCAGACAGCAGCACCAAGTACTTCACCGATGCCTTTGCGTGTGCATTCTGTTGTTAGCGGGTATTGTTATCGGAGCACACAAACGGTCGATTAAAACGTTTTATTAGCCGACACTGCTTCATAAATACGTCCGGCTTCAAGTCGCGTCACACACTGTACACCAGTGTTGCGGAGTTGTCACCCCCGAGTTGGAATGATTCCGGAATCATTCCGCACTTTCGCGACCCCGGAATAAAAATGGAATGAAATGGCGGCAGCGCTGGAGGGAATGAAATAGGAATGGAATTATATGCCTTCTGCTCGGGGATGGGGTGGGAAAGGAATGTGCCCGGTTTTTATGCGAGCTGTGTTGATTTTCATCTAGGGCCTACGGGATGACGGCGCAATTCGCTAGCGCATGGTGAGTAGCTCTTGCAACAGCATCGTTTCACTAGAGGTGACTGACGGTTTGATTGTCTCACTGGCATATGCTCCTTCGAAGATGAAAATGGCGCGCCCTTGGTGAATAAACTAAAACTGGATAGTTATAAAAAATAAAGTGTGGTTCCAGGCACCGCGGGACGCAACAAAGCGGCTGCTGTAATCATGCTCGATTAGCATGCAGCTTTTAACCAGAGTGTCGAAACGACCCCAAACCGAAAACCGGAGAAAACCCGTAACTTCTACCTGCCGGAACGTAACCGTAAACGAAATCAAACATTTGATTTTGAATTGAACTCGAACCGGAACAAAACCGTAATCGCATGGGGCGGTGACCAGTTCATTGGAAACAATTCGGCGTAATAAAATGTGATCTGCACGCCTTCTTGTGACTGGCGGCGCAAAGTCAATTAAATATTCGCGACGGTGGTGTCAGCGCAGTGGTGTCACCAAGCTCAGCGGCCCACCGCGACCACGCTCCCACACTGCGTCAGTGGCTCAGTTTCGACTAAACACCACAGCGACGAGATGGAGACGGCTCAATAATCATCAAACAAATAAGTATTACACTTCTATACTTTGTTTCGTTTTATGATGGACCGCAAACGACGCTACAAGCCACCGGAGTCAATTCATAGCTCGGAGGGTGTCACGTCCGTTTTGGCGGAGTGACGCAGAATGCGCCGAGTCACGAGGCAAGCTGTGAAGTATGGATTGGCTCGTTTAGCTCGTAGCGTCCATCTCGGTACATCCCAAGGTGAAACGAAGTATATCTGACTATGCCGAGAGGCTAAAGAGCTATTCTTCGTGTATCTCTGTCTGTCTGTCTGCCTGTGTGTACGTGTGTGTGTTTTCTTTTTTTTTTTCTGCTAGTAATGTTCCCCAAGTAAGGGTAAAGCAAAAATAAACATCAAAATACAAACAAAAGGTTGAAGGCTATCCCGCGTTTGTTCCGTGGTGGGGAAATCTGGAGGCGCCAAGAGACAAAGCCACGACGAGCGCGACACTGCGACGCCTGTCGCCGGAACACCAGTCGCCCAGCGCCCTAGGCGCCGCTCTCATAAATCTGCGTGTGTCTGTGTGTGTGTGTGCGCGCGTTTTCTAGAAACTAATTTTTCCCGTTGTCCTTCTAATGTTTTTTTTTTTTTTTTTTTATCGTCTTTCAATTGACCTTCGCTGTCTTTCTCTTCAACTCAGTTGTTGGGGCGTGCGGTGTGGGTATAGTTTGCCGCTTCGATCTGGATGAGCACGGTAGTGGCGTGCGGTCGTGCATCAGTACTGCGTGACGCCAGTTAAATGACCAGGCTAGCGGTCATACAGCACTGGCTAAATGTCTCATCTACAATGGGTAAGAATGCCGCCGTACTCCGCACGCTAAACTCCGGCTCTCTGAACAACTCACTGTGCGTGCTGGCTGATTGAATTCACATGTGAGTACTGTACTTTGGTACTGTATCCAAGCGCCCATATAACCACGTAAATTTCATAGAACGGTGTTTGCGTTAAAAATTCAAGATCACAAAATAAAATTAAGCATATATTTGTTTTGTTGTTCTCGTTTCCCCAATCAGGGCTTCTCTTGACTTAATTTTCTTTTATTGAAGATGACGCCATATTGAACTATTTTTTTTCTTAACCATTGGGAGCTGTGAACATTTTATTTTCAAGAACCGGTTTGAATTTGTTTGCGCTTGGTGGAACCGGTAACCGAACCGTTATTTCAAAAGCATCGCTGAACCAGAACCGAACCGGAGCAGAATGCAAATCAACCCGAATCCGAACCGAACCGGAATAATGACTGATCCGATTACGTGCTTTTAACCCAGCCGATATTCTAATGCTTGAGTGAAACATGAATAAAAATTGGATTGGATATGTTAAGAAATTGCAGGAGTGTTACGGCAAACGTAAAAGTTTACGTTTTAAAACAGGTTCCATAATATGGTGCTACAGTCCCTCGTGCTAGAGCCATATACCGATTGCTCTTTGTCAGTTGTTTTCTGTTCTTGCCGCAGTGGATGTGGGGCAGGTATACGCGGCGTCGCTTCTAACAGCACACTAGCGGTGCTGTTGCGCAAGTATTTGAAGCAGAGTGCGATATAGCTCCTTCTTGCGTTAGGCACAAACTAGACATTTTTAAGGCCTTACCAAACAGACAATACACTAACATGTGTCTGTGGACGGTATACGGTCCGTTTGCGAATAAAGTGGGTGGTTTTAAGTTTTGGCGTCTGTTGCAACTAGCAATTCTTTTCCACTTGATCGCGTTATCGATTTCTGCAGTGACATCAAGTGACATCAAGTGCCACGAAGCGCTTTGTCCGACAACCCTTCGGCTTAGTAGAGTGAGTGCTTTGAGGAAGTTTTTGCATAACTTTTGCAGTCGTCTCCGTGTTCGGTGACGTCAGCAGCTTTATGCTGCTTTTTTTTTCAGCAACACAATGGAGCTGTCAATGACCATTTTTTTCACGTTTAGAAATTAGACTTATTGAATAATGGAGTCTAGCTATTCCAGGAGTGGGAAAGGGCACAGTTGACTCATTCCAAGGAGTTGAGAGGAATTTAATTGACCGAAACTCTAATTCCCGAGAATAGAATTGAAATTTGAATAGGAGTGCCCTTTTCGCAACACTGCAACACTGCTGCATACCTGTATTTTGGAAATGATGAGATTCAGAACGCGTGGCCATACGAATTTCAGCGTTTCGGTTCAATATTCAGAAAACAGCCACACTAATATTGCTAAAATACGCACCGTCAATTATTTCACGCACCCTGCAAAATGTTGCCACTTTGGAGCAGCACGGGGGATCTTTTCATTTAAGTGCTTTAGTGTATAAGAATGTAGTCGGCCTTCGAAGAATAAAAAGCCCTTGTGTTAATTATGCTCCCAAACTAACTACTAAATGCCCCCCCCCCCCCCCTTTTTCCGAAAAAAATACATGTTTTTTGTTAATTTTGTTGTTTTACCGGAAACATAAACTATGCATCACCGAACGCTCATTTTCCTCTCAAATCATGAGCTTGAGGTTCGAACCAGATGCCAATTAAAGTTTCAACACTAACCTTTATCTTATTCGAAAGTTGTAAGTGACTTCCTGAAATTTTCAAGGGGAAAATGGAGGCCGACCGCGCTCTCGTATGCATGGAGTTCTGTGGCGTCAGTTACCGAAAACGGGCAAACATGGTCCCCGTTTTCCCATTAAATCTTTGAGAAAATAAGTTATAAATATTGAATAACATATAAATTAGTGCTGGTTCAGATCTCTAGCGCTACACTTCGGCGGAGAATGAGCGTTCAGTGATAAATAGTTTATTTTTTACAACAATAAAAAAATACTGCTTTTTTTTTTTTTTTTTAGGGGAGGGGGACACTTTGTATATTAGCGAAATATTGACTGGCTTATAGATCTTTCATTTTTTTTCTTTTTATTTAATTGTACAAGGGTGTTGTGTGGCCAAGCGGGTCCGCCATTCTATTTACACGGTATTCGGGTCGTTAATAGGGAGTTTTAGCGAGTCGTGTTCACACAAACGGTTCGGCCTCGGAACGCATCGGCGACGCCAATGCGCATGCGCGCATGAGTCGTTGCGAGCTTCGGGAGGCTCTTCTTTTTCGTTTCTCCCACTCTGGCCGCTGGAATCGTAACCGGAACGCAGCTAGCACCGTTCATGACTCGGGTTAAAGAAGATGGCTTTCGGTTTATCCGCCGCCCCAATTGAGTGTTAGGCTGAGGACAGCGGGAGGCGATTTTCCATCCATGTTGCTCTGCTTCATTTGAGAGGTTGAACCAAATCATTTCGAGGACCGCTCCCGATGGTAAGCTATGGTGAGTGCTGTAAACTACGCATGCTAGTAACCCTATTGCGATCTTAGCTGCCGTGATGACCGCGAGTAGACGAAATTACTTGGTTAGACGGCACACAACGTGAACGATCGTTCAAGTTCAAGATGACGGAGACACAACACCTACCCTCGCGGTCACTCAGACACATTTTACTCTATCGCTTCGCAGGTCTTGAAATTTTGACCGCTAAATGTTACGTCGACCGTCTTGTTTACATCAATCGTACGCCGGAAACACGAGCCGCCACGGTTTTGCACGCTGCAGAAGGTTTCACATGTTTACTAGAAGGTGGCGCTGCCGTTCAAAAATAATCATCATTATCGTTTACACGGTTGCGTCAGTTTTACGATTTACTAAAATACGTTGACTTTCACGTGCGGTTTGACAGGACGGATCCCAGCTGCACCGTTTGTGATTTCGGAACCATGTGCTCTAAAAACGGCTCGCTAAAACTCCCTAATATCACGCACTGCAACACGAGTCGTCCAGAGCATAGAATAGTAAATACCCATCGTAGCAAACCAAGACAAACAAGTTCATGGCTGCACGTCGAATGATGCTAAGGCAATGTCTACATTAATGGTATAGAGCGTCTCTAAAAGTATCCAACCACAGACAAAAAAAAAACGCGTAATGCTAAGTGTTATAAAACCAATGTGAAACCAATGTGCCCTCTCAAATTTACTGCCTGTTCTAGGGCTGACCAAAGCATTTCAACAAAAAGTCAGCCCCAGAAAACAAAATTTTTTAGGGCACGGCATAGCCAACAATAGCGACTATGTTGTTCATTCTTGAAGACATCCCCATGAGAGTACAGTTTTCTTTCAGATTTACTACCCTGAGTTGAAATTAGTCTAGGAGAAAGCGTGCGTGCTTTCAATTAAAATAACCCAGCTCACGGTTTCTGCCGGCGGCTTCGAAGATAGTTCCAGTCAACACGGAAACATGGACTTGGCGAAGCTACCCACCGAAGGCTTTTCCGGCGACGTGTTTATCAAGCCAAAACACCCACGTGGCCGATAACACGAGTCCAGTCCAATTTGGTACGCCGCTGAGTAATCCGAAGGAGTCAGAACAGCCCTGTTGACGCATATCTTGAGAGGAGGCCCGCAGGGCCACAGCTACAGATAAGCCTGGACAACGTGTGCCCTCTTTCAAGGCAGCAATTTCGAGATACGCGACTGTACGTGGAACACAGGGTTCGTCTGCTTCTTGCTCAGAGGGTTCCTGTGACGTCATCACGCCGAGCCCTGATTGGTTCTTATTGGAAGGATAGGCAGAAGACCTCAATCTTAGCTGGCTTGAGCTCTACTCACTATCCTTCCACTCAGAGCGAATCAGAGCTCGGCGTGATGACGTCACCGCAACCCCTGCGCAAGAAGCAGACGAACTTGCGCTCCGCATAGTCGCAGACGGTTTAACAAACGCAAGATTCCTCAACCAATGGCGGGGCATGCTTGGTTGCCTTGGTGCCGGTTTTCTTTGTTGTCCTTTGATTGACGTGCCTCTCCCGGCGTTCCAACGCAGCAAAGACGCATTGTGGAACACATGCTCGCCGCACAGTAGCTTCGTAGCACTTGGTCGCCGCACAGCAGTACGGAAAAGTGTAGGGCAGTGTACTTCCAATACGTGTATTGATATAGGCCCGGAAGTACACCACCCTACACTTTCTCTTTACCGGTGCAGTTAAAAAGTAAGTTTAGGGTGGTGTAAGGTGGTGTACGATAGTAGCTTCGAACGAAGCAACGATCACACACTAAATAGTGCTGCACCGTTCGTGGTCCTCAGTGCAGCAAGACAAGGCCTATAAGCACTTGGATTTTGACGCCCTCGCACTACAACCGAGTGCGGGCTATGTCGCGACGTTTATGCGCTACACAATGGAAAGTGTAGGTCGTCATCGTTGGAAATACAAAGAAATGCGATTCGACATGCTTGTTTTGCACATCAGTACTGACGCCGACAGATAGAATGAGCACGTAATGATAATGAAAAGTGCATTGTTTCCATCACTTTGTCGAAAGGCTAGGCTAAGCGCTAGCAATATTTCAGTTTTTTTTTTTTTTTTTTTCTTGAAACTACAGTTGCGCCTTACAATGGCAATATAAGCTACTGGACGAACGTCAAATTGCCTGAAGCCGAAATGCAAAGCAAGTCGTAATATAGGCCATGCATCTTGAAAAATGCTTTCCATTCGGGCTGGAGCGTGGTCATGTGGTTTTTCTCAGATCACTCTCGGTGTGGTGTGGCAGCCACCATTTGTTTCCGTTGTAATGTTAATGGTCCACAATGTTGTAGCTTTTTATTTTTAACTCAGTTATGTGCAACTGAGTTGTGAAAGTGCCTGTTTTGATTGCTTTCATAGTCATTCCCCCGCATTTTTTGACGAGCGGCCGTTATGCGCTATCTTTTGATATTCCTGGGCTGTCCCGTCGCCATTTGTCCTCTTTTTTTCTCTGACTTCATTCTTGTTAAACTTCTATAGCCAAAGCCTATGAACTATGTTCACAAAAGAAAGCTACCCATCGGACATGTCATGTATCCTAACAACAACAACGGGAACAATTTACACGCATAAACTATACCCAATAAAAAAAGATATAAGTACGAGAATTTAGCTAACTACGTTCATAGCGCCAGCTTGCCGGAAAGATAAAGGCCCTCTAGTAGATCTGCTCCAACGTCTAATCTAAAGTAAAAATAGGTAAAGTTCCTTTCTTCGCTTCAGTGCTCATGGCACCCCAATCTGTATGAGATGTGGCATACTATACTTCATTTTAGAAGTTGAACACTAGGTTGCAAAACTGAGTAGCATCTGCAAGCTACCTCGACTAGTGCCGGTACAACAGCGGTTTTAAAGCAAGAAAGGCTTTTCACTGGAACCCTCCAATCAAAAATTATGTTCATCTGTGCCTTTCCCACAAATATAGCGCGGAAATTGACATCACGTGACCCATACACCGATTCAGAGGCCAGATTCACGAAACGATCTTACGCCATAAATTAGTATACGACAAAAAAAAAAAAAAACGTGAAAGCAAATTTTTATACACGAAACGAAAGTATCGTAAATCTTTGCGCAGGTTACGTTGGAATTCTACGACAGCTGTCTTACGCGCCTCCCGACTTCAGTTAGCAAGCAAAAAAAGAAAGAAGTACTTAAAAACGACCACGACGGACATGAGCACTGTGCTAGCTTGGCGACCTCGGTAAAATGTAGGCCTAGCAAGCAAGGCCCTCCAACCTGCTCCGACGCATCGACGGGCCGTGGCTAAGACCGTCTGCTTACAACGGGCTGGCTTGATGAATGGAATATGCCCGCGCGACCCTTGTGGACTCTTCCCGTATGAATAGTTTGATCGCTGGCCTCAATTTTAGATTAACAAGTAAATCTCTTTCCCTTGTCATCCCCTTGTTTTCCGAGTCAGCGGTGACGAACGCTGTCGTCGAAAAGTGACTCTCATCGATTCTATATCCTTGTAGTGTATGATGTAGAGCTCGAATAAACGCCGCATGGATTACCTTTCCAACATATGGTACGTACACTTTGTTATTAGGATGCCATTTTGATTCCGACACGACAACACTATCGAGCTTGAACAGTTCGTGGCAGCTACGCGATGCCGGTCCAACCTTACTTTACCGAGTGTCACGTTACACGTCGAGTTGCAATCGTAGAAGATCGGTCTCGAAGCGCTTACCTCCAACACCACGAATCCAGCACTTTGAACAAATGCGCCCCTCCGCTCCGAGTGTGAACAGGTATTTAAGCTACTCTTGCTGAGGCTCTCGTAGTTCAAACGTATCTTTTTGGACGTCGGCTCGCTGCTGCATCTCCAAGGCCGCAAAAAACGCCGCTGCGATATGTTACTATCTACGTTGCTTTGCCAACGACCGGCGCGAGCCGTCTTCTTTTAGCAACGATGATAGTTCTGTTCACCTCGTAGCGGTCGCGTTCAGAGCAATCCACGAAGGCGGTTAATTGTCCCGGCCTCGGCATTCGGGCCTGTTTAAATCGTGTTAGCGTCTGCATTTCACTGCACGGACAAGAACCCCAACGTTGGCGGAAAGGCCGCCTGCGTTTGTTATTCGAAATCCACGTGCTTCGAACCATGCCGAGCTCTCCGACTGGGTTATTCGTGTTGCCGAAAACGCCGTCACCATATATCAACAGCCCGCACTCGCGGAGATCAGGGGCATGCGGGACACCAGAAGTTCTAGTTTTTCCGTAAGAGAACATCGCCTTCCTCCTCTCACTTAACGCGTTCGTGAATGCCGATTTTTCCTCATCTTACGATGTTCTTAACTTACGAACTTCTTAGCTAAGTTGTCGTAAACTAAGAAGCACTTCGTAAATTTGGACTCAATTCCTTAGCTGAATATAGTGGGAAAATTGGTGTCACGTGACCTGATGTCATGTGATCTAAACACCAAGTTAGAGCCCCGATAAATTTAGCTCGAAGATCTACGCCACGTGACATTTGTAAAAAGTCACAAGTTCAAAAACTACAGGAATCTGGGTGTACCAGTTCTTTAATGTTCGATGTAGCAGGGAGCCTGACCGCACACAATGAAAGAAGAAGAGAAAAGACTCGCCGCCCCGGCAGTGATACTGATACCCTACCAACACAAAGTATCACACAACTTGAAACGAATAGCGTCTATATATGACATACAGGTTGTAACATCAGATCCCGACAAACTTAAAAAAACTGTGTCCAAATATCAAGTCCCAGAACGAAAGACAAGAACACTGCTCAGTCCCCAGCACGCACATAAATATATCAACTGCAACGTCAACATCGTTTACGAAATTTCGTGCACATGTGGGAGAGTGTACGTCGGTCAATCTGGGCGCTGCGTAAATGTGCGACTACGAGGGCATGAACTTTCCCTACCTGCGTCACCGTCAGGACACTTGGCCGTACATGCCAGAGACCGTAAATGCACTCCTCTATTCAATCAAACGCAGGTACTCAAACGCTTTCGGAACAAGAGAGCCAGAGAAATTTTCGAGGAAAAAACTATAATCGAAAAAGGAGACACGTGCATTAGCACACCATCAATTTCACTGTCCGAGAAAGAGATAGGGTACCTCAACCTTTTTTCTTAATCTGGCTGCTTTTCTTTGTTTTTATTTTTCTATCAGTCCTAATTCTTCTCAAATTGTTTTTAATCATTTCGCGTGGAAATACAATTAAATCTCCTCTCATTTTCGCCTTTCTCTTATCATGCATTAAACAATCAGTTGTTAGTAAGCGCTTGTCCTGTTCATTCTTTGTCCTGTCCTTGTCCTTTGCGCTTTTGTAATTACCATGCCCCAACTAATGGTAAGAACACCCTGTAAGCTCGTCCTCTAACGTATTGAACCTGATACGTAGCACACCTTTTGTGAGCCGAATTAACGGTTTCGTTTCTCGGACAGCTATCTATAACAACAGTTCCTTTAGTTTTTTTTTTTTTTTAGTACTTTTGCAGAATATATTTGCATGGAAAGTTAAATTTTTTTGTCGGATTTCGCCTTTTCTAGCGGCTGCCCAAACCTTAGCCAACGGTCGTGGTGATGCGATACGTGGCTCATAATGAGCCCGACCCGAGGCCAAGTTTAGACACAAACAAAATAACCAGTGGGAAACTGGCATAAAGCGGTTTCAGAGCCTGTACGTACCGGGTATGGGGGTACTGTTCATCCACAATGCGCTTTCTTCGAAAAATATCTCAAATCGCTCGAGCACATCCAGTGGACCGTAGCGCCTATCTCTGTCCGAAGACCGGAGAGCAAATGATAACGTGTTTAGCTCGGCAATGAAATAAAAATACGAACAGAGGCAGTCACTCGCCAGGGAGCTCTTGCGTTCCCAGTTACAACTAGGTCAGGGCGGACGAGCGGACGAGCCTATTATGTCGGGCACGATTCAAGAGCTCGCGGCGCGGCGGGGTGTGCTTGTGCGAGCTCCGGGCAGAGGAAGGAGGCG